TGATAGCTCTTACTGTTGTTGGTTATTAAAATGTCTGCAAAAATAACAAGGACACATATTTCAGTATTTATCATGTGGTGTTATCTGGTATTAATAACCAATAAACAGACAAGTTTCATACTTGGATATTGTGATGGACACTTGTAATGCCAGTCTGTGTTGACATGAAGGTTGCTGAGGTGATGCGGACAGTGGACAGCTTTTTCAATCTTTGAACCGCCCCTTCCCCGTCTTCTCTCAAATTAATTAATAATTATTATTATTAGAGCCGTGAAGTCGGGAGAAGCAGCCCGTCGTCGCTCGCCCTATTTCTGTGTTTGCAAGCTCCCAAAGATATTCGTGGGGTATCCAAGCTATATGCAGAAGCTACAGTGATATGTCGGCCTTTCAGATAACAATAACAAAGTTTAATAACAAAATAAGAGAATTACACAAAATATACAACATACATAAACATGGCAGAACAGGGGTACAACAACCCAAATCTGTGATTGCTGAGCAATCACCCGTCGCCAACAGTCTCGACAAAGAAATAGCTAACTCGCCCCAGTTTCACTAACTTCCTTTAGGCGTTAAACAGGTTACCCCAGAAAAAAACATAAATAATTATATTAAAAATAAATACGCATATCGCAACCGTTCTAGCCAACGGCTTGCGATCGCGGGCAGCCTTTACCTTACCAGTCAGCCAGATATACCGAATGCAATTTAGAGGTACAAGGCCGAAATAGAATTTCCAATAACAATCGCCACTAGCAGGTAGCGTCCACTCAGGACCACGTAGTCTGACAGACTATGAAGCAGATCTCGTCTCCTTCCGAGACATCGGAAGAGGAATAGAAGGCCACGTGATACACAGCCATCACGAGGATGGTCTGAAGAATAAAACTAATTAAAATCTTAATACTGTCAGGTGTAAGGGGGTACGCGTGACGAAAATAACAAGTTCTAGACCAGATGATTGGATTTATTAACACCTTCCTTTACAATCACCAATGCAACGCTATCGCTGGTTTACACACTTTCAAGTTCACCGTTCAACACTCACTAGGATTCTTAGTTTCCACTAGTCGTCTCCTAGCAACGGATCTCAACAAAGAAACTATCACCTCAAATCACTATGAAGTCCTTCTTGTTATTTCGCCTTCAGTGATTCTGTACTCCTCTGTCCTAATCTGTACTCAACTTACCTTCCCAGTTCGCTAAGGACATGCTTTGTCTCGCCCTTCTATTCCCAACTGCTCTCTTCCATGACGGCTTCGTGTCCTTGACTCACAGTTCCTCAGCTGTGACTACTCGCAAACGACTTTCGTTGTCCCCTATAAATCTTCGGCACGGACCACAAACAGAAAACACCTTCTATTGTTGTAGACGCATTTGTAGTTTTATTGCCTAGCACGGGGCATAGCGCAGACCACACTAGAAACATTTCTTATGTTGTCAGAATTGTTGCATATCCTAGCAACGGAGTGTTTACCAAGATTGTCTTTGCGTTAACTTATTTATCGAGCCGTTGCCTAGCAATGGAAATCCGCTTGTTCGTTGCTATTCCGACTTTTCAGACAGTGTTTACCTAGCCGTTGCTTATAAGCAGTCCATATGTCACAATATTATGTATTCCTGTGCGTTTAGGTCATTGTCCACTCAACTGTTCGCATGATGAGACTTTTCTTTAAACCTCCTCGACTAAGCAAAGGGTTTACATAGATCAGAGTTGAAATAGAAATACGATTTGGGTTGTAGAGCAATTTAATGTGGTGCAGAATTTCTCTAAAAGCAATTTCGAGGCAATTTTCGGACTAACAACAATTGTAGCCTTGTAATAAGACTGACAAGCCAAGGGCCTTTAGATTTGCGTTTACACATCGGGACTCTGAATCCAGTAATTAATAGAACCAGTTAACTGTGAACCCCTCTGTGTTTCCAGGCATTTGACTGTAATGGATACATGGAAGGAACGCAAACACTTCGTGTTGCCATAGCAATTCGACCGCACGATGAATGTGTATGTTGAGAACTCTGAACCTACACGCCAGTACGTACATACGTACTCATGTACGGTGCACATTTTAAATTTCGCTACTACCCACAAAGATGAGAGTCGTATCTTGTACTTTCTGCTTACTATTGAAAGAGTACAAGAGGGTACTCAGGTAGCACTGCTATCGAAGTTACAACGAACACAGAACACTTTAGTTAGAAGCCTTCATGCCAGAAAAATTCGTGACGTAGATATGGGATGGAGGACAGGAAAATGGATCATAGAGACAGTAAATGGTAAGGACATATACTGAATGTAACTGGCTGGAGATACAGTGCAGTTGGCCGTTTTTCTGAACTCCATATCGACAATTAATTGATTATTTTTCCCCCCTTGGCACTACAGCCCCAGTGGGCCTAGGCCTACCTCCATGAACTTCTCCGTTCACTTCGGTTTTTCTAGATCTTAGATATTCGGTAGGACTCCTTGGGCGGGTGATCAGCTCGTCGCAAGGCCTCTACCTGTACACAAACACAGAAAAACGCACACAAACATCCATGCCCTGAGTGGGATTCGAACCCACGATCCCGGCTTCCGACCGAAGACAGTGCACGCCTTAGACCGCTCGGCTACCGTGACCGGCTAATTGTTTATTAGCCTGAATAATGAAGCAGATGACTACAGAAGTTCCTCTTAAATTTGATGCACGTTTTGCAGGGATATCATATGAAAAGTTTCAAGAATATAATATTGTCACGTTTTTCGTGACGATAGACGAGGTTTTTGACGGGTAATTGGATTTATTGAACTCTTACAGATCCGTGACTACAAGTAATTATATCCGATCCACTAATTCACACACTTTACAGTTCGCTAAAGGACACACTTCGGTCTTTTCAGCCTGCTGTGCCTTTACCAGTCTTCTGGTAACGAGGTACGATCTACATCTGTTGCTGCCTTTTGCTAGTTGCAGGCTTGGCATGCTCTTCGACCCAGAAGATGGACGCATTGCGTTCTTCTGTAACGTTGTAAATTTCCACCAGACTATATGGCGTCACATTTCCGGCGCCTCGGTACGTAGTGACTGCAGACAAATAAATGAGAAAGCGAAGTCTGGTTGCCGTCGTCCCATACAGAGTATTGCTTCATGTAGAGCGCAGTCCAACTGCTCCTCTGAAGCTCCAAACAATCAGAATATTATCGATATACTGTTCGTTTAAAATAACTTATGCCGCTATAATCTATTATATTACTTTCGTTGTTTGTCAGGCTAAGAAGCGATTTTGACACCTTAATTAAATTATATTCCCAGTAGCATGGGACATGGTGTGGGAAATAGAACGTCCTCGATTTTGTTGATACTCACATGAATATACTTACTTACTTACTTACTTACTTACTCATGGAGCTGAGCCCTTCTTGAGGAGCCGCCAATTCTGCAGCTACTCAAGAATTTCCCAGCATTTTATGGAACCCGAAGGTTCATCGCCGTGTTCACTGGTCCCTATCCTGAGCCAGATTATAACCGCACACGGCCTGAACACTTCTTACAACCGTTGTTCGTCAGTTCTTATGACCGTTGCCTATCTATCTTTATGTTTATTTATTAATTTGTTTGCCCGCTTCGGTAGAACACTTTTGACTCTTCTCAGGATTGTGCCACGGTAATAACTGGGGCAACACGGAGACTGCACGTTTAAAACTAGTCCACTGATACAAATAAATACTCTATTTCTGCTTAATCACAATATTGTTTATTTCAGAATCAAACTATAACTTTATCGGCGAGTAGGGAGTAATGTGCCAAAGATTAATCGAGCCAAATAAATACTGTTAAATTTAGATAAACTTGGAGAGAGCAGGTAAATGACGTCTGCCTCTGTTGAATTCTAAGTGCCAAGTCGGATACGTCTGTCTCTGATGAATTCTGAACACCAAGTGCTTCTGCCCACTCTATCTCCGGGAGCGCCACTTCTTACCGTATAGGATTTGAACCGACGGCCTTTCTCCCAGGCAAGAATAGTCTTCTAATGGCTGATTTTAACTGCCAATTTATCATACCATCAGTACAAGACAATCACATTACTAACTTTTAGAATGAAGAGATCCNACCCCTCCACTGGTCCCTATCCTGAGTCAGATCTATCCAATCCATACCATCCCATCATATCTCTCTAAGATCCATTCTAATATTGTCCAGCCACCTACGCCTTGGTCTTCCCTGTGGTCTCTTTCCTTCTGTCTTTCCCACCAATATCCTATACGCATTCCTCGTCTTCCCCTTTCGTGCTACATGACCTGCCCACCTCATCCTCCTTGACTTGATCATTCTAATTATACTTGGAGAAGAGTACAAGTTATGAAGCTCCTCATTATGCAGTTTTCACATGAATATGCTACTCTTTATAAAGAAAGAATAGTCGCTCTCATTAATAAACTTTATATTTTCTTCTCTTAATTACGTTCCATAATTATATTATATGAAATGATTTTAAGTGCAGAATTTGCAGCAAGAAGAATGTGTAGTAGAGATGAATGATGTCTGTTGTCCATGAAATTCCTTGCTCTATATAACAGCTAACACTTGACGTTAAGATGAAATATAAATATAAAATTTTAAAAAGGATTAGAGACAAGATTATAGTTTGCAGTAACAGTAATGGTGAAAGTGGATGTAATAATAGTAGTGTTGATGGTGGTGGTGGTGGTGGTGGTGGTGGTGGTGGTGGTTGTGGTGGTGGTTGTGGTGGTGGTTGTGGTGGTGGTTGTGGTTGTTGTGGTGGTGGTAGTAATAATAATATTAGTAGAATATAAAAATAGAACCAGTGGAAAGAGTCATATATTTAAATAATATTTGAACCCAAAGAACCTGGTGTCAAGTGGACACAGGTTTGTGTAATGCAATGAAATACAAAGGAATAAACGGAAACTGAAACTAAATTACCTCTAACTTCAGAATTACCTAGCGTTTCGTTTAGTCCTTTCCAGAAGACGCTAATGATAATGATTTCTGTTGCAGCTACAATATCGTATTCATGATCCTGACGTACTTCCTGCCAATCGGCTCTATGAGCTTCACATATGCGCGGGTGGGGCTGGAGCTGTGGGGTAGCCAGAGCATTGGCGAGTGCACACAGCGCCAGCTGGAAAACATCAAGTCCAAGAGGCGGGTAAGTCAATGTTGATCTTATGGCGAGGCACACTGTAGCTGTAAGGGCGAAGGCACAACAAGGAAACTGGCAACCGCAATTTCCGAGAATTGTCGCCGATTTCAAGCAGGCAACTGGTTTCCAGATTAGCAGGCGCACACTGAGGAAACTTATGCTTGATTAGTTGCTCGTTCGTCCGATGTAATACATGATTGCATTTTTTTAATTTCGTAATTTTATTTTTTGCAATGGAATAGAATACTTATCTTCTCATAACATCGTGGTAGTTGAGACCGGCTAAGACGGCGTGAGAAGAGAGGACGACGACCATAAGGAAAATATTGGGGTGTTAATTAATTTCTTCTAATTAAGGTCAATTTATTTTAAGTATGAAATATCTCGTTCACACGCGATACGAAGTTTTGACATACAGTGCAAAAATTTTAGCAAGACACACCTGATGATGGTCGTATATGGCCGAACCATTAAATGTTGAAGAAGGGTGACTCTATAATAAATTATATTTTATATTCATTTTATAAATTATATTTAAGATAGAAATATATGTAAAATAATATTTATACAACAGGATGGCTAAATACGTGTATAATATTAGGAAAAGAAAACATTGGGTGCATCCGTTCTTTTGAAACAATTGAAACTGAGGCGCTTATATTTTTATCGAAAGAACTTAACCTTGATCCAGACTCCTTCGTCTCATGTGAAATTCTTTCCCAAGCCAAACTCATTTTGCCCAGCCTAGCACAGTTTTGGTGGCGTTTGTCATATATACCAAGCTCTTGCTCAGTTAACTGTATAAAAATAAAATTAGCAGTTTCGTCAACCTTTCGTGTCATCTTAAGAAACAAATGAATTACTGAAGGGCGATGTAGAACAGCTGACACTAGGAAACCACGCGGGAACGCAATTCTGAGAAGACTAGCATGCTCCGTTGTCAGGAAGTCGAGTTTCTCAGTCTTTCCACGAGTTATGTTGCCGTTTCATCAATTTTCGCTGCTCCATTCAGTGACATATGTTCAACTCAGGCTGATAACCTTTCTCGGAAATTGCGGTTGCGTTGCAGTTGAGAGTTTCCTTGTTATGCCCCTGCCCTAAGAGTGAGATGAGACTGAGTCTGTGGGTAGTACCGACCGCAAATGGTCTAATGTCGAAAGTCACGATGGTATATGACGTGCATCTTTTGTGCAATGATAACTGGCCATGGGAAACCGAAGTGCTCGAATAATACGAGACACAGTACCGCTTTGTCCACCACGCATCCAACACAGCCTATTGTCTGCACTATGGTCACTCAGTGTTCCGGCTAATATTACCCCAACATACTATCAAGCCAAGACGAGATCTATTTAAGGACTCTGTCAATAACTCCCACGGTATAGCTTCGAATGATAGGCTGTGTGAAAGACGAATTCTCCCAGACGTGACAGAGAGTGCTCGTGGCCTAAGCTGCAGTACAATCTCAGCATTTACCTCGAGGGATTCAGGAAACTACGAAAAGCCTCAGTAAAATCAGTTGGTGTCTCTGCCGAGATTCGAAAAGGGAACTTCCCGAATGCAAGTTTGAAATGTCACCGCTTGAGCTATCTCATCTGCCGACAATCTCGTGCTGTTCTTGTCTCACTTGAGGTCTGTTTTTACCCTTGTGCGAAGAACAAACTGCACTACATTTCCAGTGCTGTTCTTCCAACAAGGAAGAGCCAGTCCACATATTGCACACTGAATGCACTACACTGCATTGCATTTGTAGTGTTTTTCTTCCAGCGAGGAAGAGTCAGCCCACATATTATACACTGACTGCACTAGACGCTTGCTCGTGTCAAAGACAAGCTAAATTGCATTGCGGTCCTACAGTGTTGTTGCTGGTAGGTTTAACTGAAGTGTAGGCCAACAGTGTTCTCTTGGTTGTGCAAATTATTGTCCTCTGGGGTGTAATATCGTGTAGTCTGACATATTTATCGGTGATTCTCAGGAATACTCTGTCATCATCTTCAGGGTCGAAGAGAACTCTTGTACTTTGGAGATTAAGGAATATACTGAAATCCTGAAGATGGAAGCAGCACTTCCCGCCATAATGTCGGTAAATATCCACCAGATCACTTGTCATCGCCTTCCAGAAAACAGAAATCATCGTAGTCCCTGCCCAGAAAGTCCAAAACCTTGTACGAGTATGTTTATGGTTTCCTAGGAGGACGTTACTAGTCCCGTGCTGTTCTTATGAAAGATAGGAAATGCATCACTGGACCATAAAGTTTTCAGAAATGCGGGCTACATTCGGACTCCATGCCAACTTCTGTGTCTGCGGAAATTTCAAGATGCAATGTCGGCTTTATGTTAATTATTCGTACGAGTAGGGTGAACAGCGCCAGTCACTGTGACATCGCAGTCTAAGGTATGAACCATCTTCGCCCATTCGAACACTGGGGTCGTGGGTTCGATTTCCACTTGAGGCATGTATGTCTGTGTGCTTTTTTCTGTCCTTGTGTTGTTATCTGTGTAAGTAGCTGCCTTGCGATGGGCTGATCCCTTGTCCAAAAAGTTCTACCGACTCTGCTATAGATTAAGACACTGCAAAAGTGGCCGAGGTCCAAAGGGCTGTAGAGCCATAGGTAGGTAGGTAGTTAGGTAGATATTGAACAGAATTGTGTGGTAACATAGCATAATTGCGTTTCTGGCCACATAATCATTTGATTGTTTTGGAATATGGTTATTATTTTCAGAGCAGAACATTATTACATAATAGCCATGAAATGCTGTAATAAGAGAATAATGTTATTTCTTTGTTGATTTCACTACTTGTATTACATTATAATTTTTATTTATGCACGTCAATTTATTTCGCATCCATATTTCTCTAAAGAGCAAATCAAATTATTTACCGGCATCCAGTTATACTTGTTCTTCACCCACTGTTTGTCTTAGTTTGAATGTGTTTAGCAGTTCAATTTTATTATTATAGCTGTACTGCCTTTATTAAGAACTTCTTGTTATTTTCACCACAGATCGCACCACTTCACAGGCCCACGATTTTAATCTCCTTAGCTTTGACTCTGCTCTGCAATAGAGGGCAATTCTTATCGAATCTGATCAAATAAATCAAAAGGAACGTTTCGTTCTGAATGACCCTGGGATATGCTCAGCCTCTAAAGGGCCCTACACACGCTCCGGTAGACCTGTCAGGTGCGCCTGCACAGGCGCGCCTGCGCAGGTCGACCGGAGCGTGTGGATGATAAAACGTCGCAGTTATTGTGACCTGAACAGTCCGCCGGAGCATATTCGAAAAATCATTAGACGACCTGTGCAGTTTTGTACCTGAACCAGGCAAACCGGAGCGTGTGGCGAAATGGCCATCCTCATAACGGTATCTTTCTATTTTAATTAATGGGGCAACTAATGACAGGAGCTGTAAATAAGTTTCTTCATTCATGCGCAAATAATTGTGCCAGTCTTTAGGGACCTACTTCAATTCACGTAACAGATTCACATGTGAATAAACGTTTCTTTTCATCAACCACTCTTTGCACCAGGTTTGACGCTTACTTTTCGGTTTGAAACAATTTGTAGCTAATAATAAGCCAAATACAGCTAGAACATCGTCACCTGTAGATGCCATGTCCGACCGTAGCAAACACGCAACTGAAGTAATATCGGAAAGGTGTACCTGAGCGTGTGGGCGCACTGGGGTTTTCAGGTCGACCTGCGCAGGCGCACCTGTGCAGGCGCACCTGTGCAGGCGCACCTGACAGGTCTACCGGAGCGTGTGTAGGGCCCTTAACAGAAATAATTACCAGGAATCTACCTGGGGGGGTAAAGAGCGGCCAGCACGTAAGGCTGACAACTTTACCGCCATCTGTGAATCGATTATCAAGAGAAAATATGGGAGCGTCTATCACTACCGTCACGTTCGCCCACACGTTTGGCGTCAATTTTAACTCTGTATAAGTGCTCAGTGAGACTTCCAGCCCCACTTATAACTTGCCACTTATAAGTTTCCTCTTAGTGCCCTTACGTTGGTCTCCACTTTCATCCGCCGCTTCCTTGTTGCTGTCTGGTTCAGGGTAGGGTGTGGGATTGCTCTGAATTTGAATTTGTACGGGCGCCAGTGGACTTGGGTGAAATCCACGAATTTGGAACGGGGAAAACAAAGGGGGGGGGATAAAGATAGGCGGGCGTTTGGGGTTCCGACTGTTCAGACGGTAGGACGAGTTTCTGTCTCAGGGCGACTTCCGCGCCTTGCTCACACAAGGAGAGAGAGAACACTTAAAACTCACATTTCAACAACTCTGTTGCTCTTTATTATTGATGTGAACTAGAATTACACATTACAAGGCTGTAGCAGTTTGAATTTGTGTACCGGCCTCGGCCAACACTGATTTAACTTCCGGGTGGTCACTCCTGTTACTCACTTTTGATGACTGACTCCTGTTATTCACTTTTTGCGACTGACTGCTCCGGAGAGGCAGAAGTCCTGACGGTTCTGGAAACGCCTGGTTTCCTCTCCTCTGAAATTTTGCTGATTGGCTGAACCTAAAATTTGGGTGTTTCTCTAATTTACATTCAGCCAATCCCTAACAAGATCCATGTTAATTTGGGCCTAAGTACAAGACGGTCCCTCTGACAGCTCTCAAATAAATGAAGGTACGCTAACGATCGCTCGGTACGCCCCTCTGAAAATTATTGCGACTCGTATCTGTGAAGTCTCAAATTTTCAAAACTCGTACCGTCGAAGTGAAGCATTGAAATTTCCAGAAAACGCAGAGGGATACTTCCTGCTCCGTTCTGGGGTTTTCAAGTGACCTGCAGCTTGCTTGTCCCTCAGAAAGACCAGATGTCGTCCTTGGCGTCTGCTGGTGCTGGGGTAAATTCTGTATCATCTTGCGTTAACAGTAATGCAGTTCGTTTACATGTAGTGCATTGTAATTAAGAATGTAAATGAAAAACATTGCTGAGGTTCCTGCTTGGTGCGGTTACACCTCGACGTCTCACAACCCTATCGACCTACA